ACTCTTGCAATATTCTAAATAATGTTTCTAAACTCTAAACACTCTAAAGGAGCACAGCATGCCATGAAATTAGCTCTCTGCCACCAGCTGCTCTCTGCCACCAGCTGCTCTCTGCCACCGGCTGCTCTCTGCCAGCACTCTCGGCCACGCCCACTTCTCTGCTGCAGAGTGGAGATATGACCTGCTGCAGGAAAGAGCTTCTCCTGCAGAGGTGGGCTGCACACAGGTGTAGCAGGTGCTAAATAATTTAAAATAATCCATTTAATATAACAATTACATGCTGATCATGCAGCTCATCCATTAATCAATCAGTTGTATGTCATATCCAATCTTACTTTGAAAAACTGCGAAGTAGCAAGTCCGGGAAAAACGTACCGTGGAGTAGCAAGGGACTACTGTATGTTATATCATATTTCTGCTGAAAAACTATTGTAATGTAAAAGTGCCAAAGTTTAGTTGTTAAAAAGTTATCTACAGCAGATAAGATGTTCATTGTTATAAACTTCTCACCAGAAACCTAATTTAAAATACATGAACAATTATTTTAAGAGAATGAAAAGTAAATTTCAGCCCCATTTCATGCTGAGGATCTGGCAACAGTAAAGCAGGTACTAGCTGCTTTTCTTCAGATTCACTTAATTTAACAGGAAAAGAATGGTAGTTAATACTTGTTATTAACACACAATTCATCTTTTTACCGAGTATGACTTGGCGTGATTAAAACATGTCCTTTGGCAACGTTCTTTTGTGAATTCCAAAATGTTACAAGAGACAAATGCTCTTCAGTTGTTCTGAAGGGTTAATGATGTCTTATAAATTTTGCACCCAAAGACATCAAGCTAAGCGCCACCATGGTATTTGTCTTTCCCCACTAGCAGCCTTAGTTATCAAGCCCTGAATGACACAGATTGGATTAGCCACATGCCAAATGTCACAGAAAAAGCCAAAGTGGGAGGGGAGACAGAAGGAAGGGGGCACGGAGTGAGGAATGAGATAAGTCTTCATTGCTTTTTACCACTCTTTGCCAACACTTTTGGCTACATAGAGGAGATATTAAGACAAGTAACTGGCGATATTCAAACATAACTATAAAAAATAAAAGTGATATTAATAAATATACATTTGAAGTATATTTTTAAGCAGAATGCGTTTAAAATGAGAACAAGTTGATAAAATCAAAATAACAAATTTGAGACATGGAGCAATTTTAATTAAGTTTTTATTTAGAATTGTTTAATTTAAAATATCTGTTTATGCTGGGGCAGCAAGGTGGCACAACGGGCATAGCTGCTGCCTCTCAGCGAGTAGGTCCCTGGTTCAAACCCCGGTCCAGGGGCCTTTCTGGGTGGAGTTTGCATGTTCTCTCTGTGCATGCGTGGGTTTTTTGCGGGTACTCCGGTTTCCTCCCACAGATCAAAAACATGCATGTTAGGCTGATTGGTAACTCTAAATTGTCCCTAGGTGTGAGTGAGAGAGTGAATGGTTGTTTGTCTCTTTTGTCTCTATGTGGCCCTGTGATGGACTTGCGACCCGTCCAGGGTGTACCCCACCCCTCGCACAGTGATTGCTGGACATGGGCACCAGTGACCCCCGTGACCCAAAATGGAACAAGCGGGTAAAAATAATGGATGGATGGATGGATGGATGTTTATGCTGTAAAAACATGTCCTAGACCCTTTTCATTATGATTTTAAAAAATCAGCAAGTATGTGGATGGTCTTTGCAAGTTCTTGGCAAGGTCCTCAAGCTCCTATTATTCTCTCGATTATGCATGATAGAGTGATAGGTCCATGAGTATTGATAAAACCTCTGTGTGGTCATAGTGATTTTCATCATGGTGGCAGCATACTATATTTATGCTAGCCAAAAGTCTTGCTATGCTAGCTTTATGCATTGCTTATGACCACGGCCATGACAAAATCATAGTAACAACCTTGTACAGAAACATGTGGCGGTCAGAATCAGAGAGTCACAGTTTCTTTATTTGTCATTCGCACCACATGTGCTACATGTGGTGGAATGAAATAGTGTACACAGAGTCCCAGTTACATCCAACAACAAAATGTAAAAAGAAAAAGGTTTGCAAGATATGAACTAAGAAAAACATGAACTAAAAATATGCTAAGCACTAATAGAATAAAAAAAACAATATGCCGAAAAGCAGCACGAGTACAAATGAACACAGCAACATAAAACAGATCAGCAGCAACATAAAACAGATCAGCAGCAACATGAAACAGATCAGCAGCAACATGATGTGATTTTTCTGAGTGATTATTCTGGTTAGAGATTCATGAGTCCAACAGCCTCAGGGTAGAAACTGTTCCTCAGTCTAATGGTTCTACATTTAATGTCCCTTAACCTCCATCCTGAGGGGAGCGGGGCAAAAAGTGTGTGTGCTGGGTGAGTGGGGTCCTTCATGATGCAGATGGCCCTCTTTTTGCATCTGAAGGTATAGATGTATTTGATGGTGGGGAGGCTGACTCCAGTAATAATAGGTAATAGGTTTAATAGGTAATACTGTACATGCAGGGAATATCTTTTAACACACATAGCTACATTTTGATGCAACTGAATGCCCAAAAATAAATTTAAGTGTGTTTAAGGTTTGGATATGTCTTGTGATTTTGACTTTTAGGTGAAATGGAGGAACTGGAAGCTCAGTGGCTGACAGGAATTTGCCACAATGAGAAAAATGAAGTTATGTCAAGTCAGCTGGATGTGGACAACATGGCGGGGGTCTTCTACATGCTTGCCACAGCCATGGGGCTTTCACTTATCACCTTTGTCTCAGAGCATCTCTTCTACTGGAGGCTCAGATATTGCTTCACGGGGGTCTGCTCTGGCAGGCCTGGACTTCTTTTCAGCATCAGCAGGGTAAGGAATTCCTGTTTGTGTGCAGCACATATTTGTATGAACAAAAATGTTATTTTTAAAATCCAGAGCACACCTTAATGCTCACAGAAAAGATTTAAAGGTGTAAGCATGCAAACGTGCCTGAAGGGATGTGTTAGCCAGAGGTGGTCATTATTAAGGCAAAATAGTGCAGTGAAGCTCTGCAGCAATACTAGAGGATAATGCTGCTCTATCTGGGTCAAACAGGCCTGTTACTGCTCTGTTTTCTATCAGATGAATAAGACAGGCGAGCAAGTATTCTCACACACATGGAGAGACTGCTAAACTAAGACACTGACTTAAAAATAAGGGGAAAGAGGGAGGGCTTCATAAAGGAGGATGATAGGCAAGGATGAGAATGGAGGCAGTGGGAGCATGGTTGGGTAATCACAATGCAGTCCTGAATATCGACAAAAATAGACCCTAATTGCGGCATGTTTTTGGACGAAACAGCAACAACCCACACTTAATCAATTTATCCTTTCACATTGTGCTAAAAGGTCAGCATTCTTTCTCACTGTGAGAACAGAAGACGTGGACATGCATCTCTAAGAGCACTGCAGTGTCTCAGCACTATTTTTGAAGCAATGAAACTTTATTTGCAGAAGTTAACAAAAGAAGGGAGTGGGGAAAGAGAAACTTACAAAGTATAAGTCAAGTCAGGGTTTCTTTATACAGGGCAAATCAAAGAGTCTGTGTTTATTAAATGATTGTAGAGAATCACATAAAAAAAAATTAAGACTATTCCTGAGGTTCAAAATAAAATGTGCTAAACATGTTTACAGATTGATATTCTAATGATGCTAATTATCTTTCAGCATGCATTAGTGAACTGTCAAACAGTCACATTGATGAATGAATTATTAGGTTGGTTCCCTACACTTTATTGGTTAAGCTTTTTAGCAAATTATCTGATAGTGTTTAATAGATAATTCTTAAATTTGTCTTATGATTTTATCATTTGTTCATGGCTATAACCTTTAAAGGATTTTTCACACTTGGCGTTCATACAGTTTAGATAAAATGAAACACACATCCAGCAGGATTTTTTGCCTTTACTTTTTTCCACAGTTTACATCTTTAGCTGTAAATGCATCAGTATTATAAAAACAGTGGAGGTGCAAGAAGATCTGTTTCATTGCGTTACATCACATTATTTATGTGTGCCACTTTAGTATTTTGGCTGTAAAACAATGCTGATGCAGAAAACTTAGACCAATTCTGTGTCTTTTGTAGTTTTAAAGTGTTTACTACATTTGAATTGAAATTAACTTAAAAAAATTCCCTTAATTTAAAGACCATTGTTTATTCTGACTTAATCACACACGGTTGTTTCTAATTCAAAATACTTTTTCAGACCAATAATTTATATAAAGTGGTTCTTCGGTTTTCTTTCTTTGCACGTGAAAGCAATAGACATTGAGATCACATTATGGTCATTTGCAACAACGCATGTAATTTATTTGTTAAATAATAGCTCAATAAATTCCAGGTTTCACTCTAGCTTTATTTTACTAAAATTTGTAAAGTTTTTGAAACTTTATAAAAAAAAAATGCATGCTCATATGTCCAGCTATTTATCAATGTTTTCAAAGCAAGTTTTCCAAAACTGGTGTTATGTTCACACAATCACCCTGTCTGATCCGGGTGTCCTTATTACTGCACACTTGCATCATTTTGAACATTTAATGTACATTTAATGTACATCTAGAGAAGGTTTCATTATTTTATTGGGTTTTTTTTTTGTTTCCTATTTTAAAGTAAGAGTGACTTTTTTTTTTTTAAGAAAAATAGATGATTTTCATAAACTGCTGTGAAGACACCAAAAAGAAGGGCAAGCCTCCATAACAAGTTTCAAGCAGACGGAAAGCTCTATTTATGCAAAGGAGGCCTCCCCATAGGGGACTCCAAACAGTTTCAAAAGAGGCTCAGTGAACTGTGGTGGGAAAGTAAAACATGAGTTGTCAAAAAAATAAATCAAATTATCTGTGAAGTGGATAAAGACCTCAGATGTACAAACCGGATTCCAAAAAAGTTGGGACACTAAACAAATTGTGAATAAAAACTGAATGCAATGATGTGGAGATGGCAAATATCAATATTTTATTCGTAATATAAATAGATGACAGGTCAAAAGTTTAATCTGAGTAAATGTAACATTTTAAAGGAAAAATATGTTGATTCAAGATTTCACAGTGTCAACAAATCCCAAAAAAGTTGGGACAAGTAGCAATAAGTGGCTGGAAAAAGGAAATTAAGCATATAACGAACAGCTGGAAGACCAATTAACACTAATTAGGTCAATTGACAACATGATTGGGTATAAAAAAGAGCTTCTCAGAGTGTCAGTGTCTCTCAGAAGCCAAGCTGGTAAGAGGATCACCAATTCCACCATTGTTGCGCAGATAGTGCAACAATACCAGAATGGTGTTACCCAGCGTAAAATAGCAAAGACTTTTAAGTTATCATCATCAACCGTGCATAACATCATCAAAAGATTCAGAGAATCTGGAACAATCGCTGTGCGTAAGGGTCAAGGCCGTAAAACTCTACTGGATGCTCATGATCTCCAGGCCCTTAAACGTCACTGCACCTCAAAAAGGAACGCCACTGTCAAGGAAATAACAGAATGGGCTCAGGAATACTTCCAGAAAGCATTGTCAGTGAACACAATCCACAGTGCCATCCGCCGTTGCCAACTGAAACTCTACAGTGCAAAGAGGAAGCCATTTCTAAGCAAGCTCCACAAGCTCAGACGTTTGCACTGGGCCAGGGGTCATTTAAAATGGAGTGTGGCAAAATGGAAGACTGTTCTGTGGTCAGATGAGTCACAATTTGAAGTTCTTTATGGAACACTGGGACGCAATGTCATCCGGACCAGAGAGGACAAGGATAGCCCAAGTTGTTATCAACGCTCCGTTCAGAAGCCTGCATCACTGATGGTATGGGGTTGCACGAGTGCTTGTGGCATGGGCAGCTTGCATGTCTGGAAAGGCACCATTAATGAAGAGAACTATGTTCAGGTTCTAGAACAACATATGCTCCCATCTAAATGTCATCTCTTTCAGGGAAGACCCTGCATTTTTCAACACGATAATGCCAGACCACATTCTGCAACAATCACAACATCATGGCTACGTAGGAGAAGGATCCGGGTACTGAAATGATCAGCCTGCAGTCCAGATCTTTCACCTATAGAGAACATTTGGCGCATCATAAAGAGGAAGGCACGACAAAGAAGGCCCAAGACGATTGAACAGTTAGAGGCCTGTATTAGACATGAATGGGAGAGCATTCCTATTTCTAAACATGAGAAACTGGTCTCCTCTGTCCCTAGACGTCTGTTGAGTGTTGTAAGAAGAAGGGGGGATGCCACACAGTGGTAAAAATGGACTTGTCCCAACTTTTTTGGGATTTGTTGACGCCATGAAATTTGGAAACAACAGATTTTTTCCTTAAAATTATACATTCTCTCAGTTTAAATTTTGATCTGGGATTTGTGTTCTATTCTGAATAAAATATTAGATGTTGGCGCCTCCACATCATTGCATTCTATTTTTATTCACAATTTGTTTAGTGTCCCAACTTTTTTGGAATCCGGTTTGTATTTCTGGGGGGGGGGGGGGGACAATTGGTTCCCCCAAACCAGCCACTAGGGAGCACAAGTCAGTGTAGCTCTTGTGCCGGTCCAAGCCCGGGTAAATGGTGAGGGTTGTGTCAAGAATGGCATCCGATGTAAAACACTTTTGCCAAAACCATAATGCGAGTTCATCAAAGCGAAACCATACCGGATCGGTCAAGGCCCAGGTTAACAACGAACGCCACCGGTGCTGTTGACAAACAGGGTGCCGGCGGAAATTGTGCTACTGTTAGTTGAAGACCACGAGGAGGGAAACGTGTCAGGAGACAGAGGGAGAAGAGGAAAGTGAAGAATGTAGGACTGAGGGTGGCAACTCTAAATGTGGGGACAATGACAGGCAAAGGTAGAGAGCTGGCTGACATGATGCAGAGAAGAAAGGTAGATGTTTTATGTGTCCAAGAGGCCAAGTGGAAGGGCAGCAAAGCTTGCAGCATTGGAGCAGGGTTCAAACTGTTTTATCATGGTGTGGATAGAAAGAAAAATGGAGTAGGGGTGGTCCTGAAGGAGAAATTGGCAAAGAAAGTAGTAGAGGTGAAGAGAGTGTCAGATAGTGTGATGTGCCTGAAGGTAGAAGTAGAAGGTCTGATGCTAAACATCGTCAGTGGTTATGCTCCACAGGTTGGATGTGATGAGGAGGAGAAAGATACATTTAGGAAAGATCTGGATGAAGTGATAGAGCGTATTCCCAGGGAGGAGAGAATGATGATCGGAGCAGACCTGAATGGACATGTTGGTGAAGGAAACAGAGGGGATGAGGAAATGATGGGTAGGTTTGGTGTTAAGGAAAGAAAGCAGGAAGGACAGATGGTGATGGATGTTGCCAAGAGAATGGAAATGGCTGTAGTCAATATCTATTTCCAAAAAAGGGAGAAACATAGAGTGACCTATAAGAGTGGAGGAAGGAGTACGCAGGTCGACTACATTCTGTGTAGAAGAGGAAACCTGAGGGAGATTGGAGACTGTAAGGTTGTGGCAGGGGAGAGCATGACCAGACAGCATTGGATGGTTGTGTGTAGAATGACTGTTGTTGTGAAAAAAAGAAAAAGAGTAAAATCAGAGAATAAGACCAAATGGTGGAAGCTATAGAAGGAAGAAAGTTGTGAGAAATTCAGAGAGGAACTGTTAAAGGCTTTGGGTAGTAAGAAAGATCTTCCAAGTGACTGGGCTTCTACAGCAACAGTAATTAGAGAGACAGGTAGGAAGGTACTTGGTGTGTCATCTGAACAGAGAATGGATGATAAAGAAACCTGGTGGTGGAATAGTGAAGTGCAGGATGCCATTCAAAGAAAATGATTAGCCAAGAAGAAATATGACAGTGAGAGGACTGAAGAGAGGAGACAGGAATATAAGGAGATGGGATGTAGAGCAAAGAGGGAAATAGCTAAGGCAAAGCAGAGTGCGTATGATGAGTTGTATGGGAGACTGGACACTAAAGAGTGCGAGAAGGACTTGTACCAATTGGCAAGACAGAGGGATCAAGCTGGAAAGGATGTGCAGCAGGTTAGGCTTATTAAAGATAGGAATGGTAATGTTCTAACAAGTGAGGAGAGTGTGACAGGAAGATGGAATGAGTACTTTGAGGAGCTAATGAATGAAGAGAATGAAAGATAAAGAAGAGTAGAGGTCATATAAACTGTGGACCAGGAAGTGGGAAAGATTAATGAGGGTGAAGTCCAGAAAGCTCTGAAAAGAATGAAGAAGTGGAAGGCAGAAGGACCTGATGACATGCCAGTGGAGGTCTGGAAATGTCTTGGAGAGATGGCAGTCAGGTTTTTGACTCAAATATTCAATGGCATATTTTATGGTGAGAAAATGCTTCAGGAATGGAGAAGAAGTGTGCTGGTGCCCATTTTTAAGAACAAGGGTGATGTACAGAGTTGTAGCAACTACAGGGGAATTAAGTTGATGAGCCACACGATGAAGATCTGGGAGAGAGTTGTGGAAGCAAGATTTAAACTAGAGGGGACTATCTGTGAGCAGCAGTATGGTTTCATGCCAAGAAAGAGCACCACATATACCATATTTGCTTTGAGAATGCTGATGGAGAAGCACAGAGAGGGTCAGAAAGAACTCTATTGTGTCTCTGTGGATTTAGAAAAAGCATATGACAGAGTGCCGAGGGAGGAGGTGTGGTATTGCATGAGGAAATCTGGAGTGGCAGAAAAGTATGTTAGACTGGTACAGGACATGTATGAGGACAGCAGGACAGTGGTGAGATGTGCTGTAGGAGTGACGGATTGCTTCAAGGTGGAGGTGGGATTGCATCAAGGATCGGCTCTGAGCCCCTTCTTGTTTGCTCTGGTGATGGACCTACTAACAGATGAGGTCAGACAAGAATCCCCATGGATGATGATGTTTAAAGATGACATTGTGATCTGTGGTGAGAACAGGGATCAGGTGGAAGAGAACTTGGAGACGTGGGGGTATGCACTTGAAAGAAGAGGAATGAAAGTCAGCCATAGTAAGACAGAGTACATGTGTGTGGATGAGAGGGAGGCCAGTGGAACAGTGAGGCTACAAGGAGCAAAGGTCACAAACGTGTAGGACTTCAAGTAATTGGGGTCCATTGTCCAGGAAAATGGGAAATGTGGTAAGGAAGTGAAAAAGAGAGCCCAGGCAGGATGGAGTGGATGGAGAAAAGTTTCAGGAGTGATTTGTGACAAAAAAGGTATCAGCAAAGGTCAAAGGAAACGCTTACAAGACAGTGGTGAGACCAGCTATATTGTATGGTCTGGAGACAGTGACATTGACAAAAAGACAGGAGAAAGAACTGGAAGTGGCAGAAATGAAGATGCTAAGGTTCTCCTTAGGAGTGACAAGGCTGGATAAGATTAGGAATGAAATCATCAGAGGTACAGCACAGGTTGAACAACTGGGAGATAAAGTTAGGGAGGCCAGACTGAGATGGTTTGGACATGTCAAGAGGAGGGACCGTGGGTCTATTGGTAGAAGGATGTTAGAAATGCAGCTACCAGGAAAAAGACACAAAGGAAGGCCAAAGAGGAGATATATGGATGCAGTTAGAGAGGACATGAAGGTAGTTGGAGTGAGGACAGAGGATGCAGAGGACAGAGTGAGGTGGAGGAGGATGACTCGCTGTGGTGACCCCTGAAGAGGGAAAATCTGAAAGAAGAACAACAACAACAATTGTTTCCCCCAAAAGTCAAACACTTCTGAGTTCCTCAAGTCAAACCATTTAAAAATGCAGTGACCCAAAATATCCACATTTATCATTGTTCCCATGTTAAGTAGGTAGGAAACTGAACAACACAATCACAAATCTTGACACTGATTTATCCAAACTGAACTTTGGAAAAAGTCTTGTAAAAGTGTTTTTTTTTTTTTTTTTTTGTAGAGGTCTTTTTTTCCAGAGTTTTTTTTTTTATTTTTTACTTAAACAATAAAGTTGATGTCCATTTAATATGAACTTCAGTGAAACTGATTTTTGTAAACAGAGCAACTGCATTACTAACAAAATATTTTTTTTTTCCCATTTAATAAATGTTACACATTGCTATGATTTGCTGTGTCCCTGCCAGTTTAATTAATTTTAATGGAACCTATTATGCACAGATATGTATTGCTAAAGCAAGAGTCTAATAATGCTTTCTGTCTCTTTGCTTTTCTCCCATTTTTGTTTATCATTCATGATTCATTTTTCCTTTTATATATCCCATTTTTAAATATTTTCCTTTCATAACCTTTTGTCTTCGTTCATTCATGTGCGTCATATAGGGAATCTGGAGCTGCATCCATGGAGTTCACATTGACATGAAGAAAAAGACTGATCTTGATTTCAGCCCTCAGGACAAAATGCTTAAGCTCATTAAGTCTGCCAAGCAGATGACAAATATGTCTAACCTGGGCGGCTCTCACTTGAATTCACCTAAACGAGAATTTATGCACTCAGCTGGCCCCATGATCATGGACATGATGGCAGAGAAGGGCAACTTCATATACACTGACAACAGAAGCTATGCTCCCAAAGATATGATATATGGGGACACTGGTGATCTTCAATCTTATCTTGCCAATCGTCACAAAGACCACTTAAACAACTACATTTTTCAAGGGGGGCAGCACCCTTTGACGTTAAATGATGCCAATCCAAATACAGTGGAGGTATCTGTGAGTCCTGACACAGTCCAGACCAATGCCAAACCACTGCGGACGTTGTGGAAGAAATCAGGAGACACTCTTCGCTCTATGCCCCCTGGTCCTCCTCCAATGCCTGATATGCTAATGCCAGACCCAAGAATATCAATGAAAACCCAGCGCTACCTTCCCGAGGACACAGCCCACTCTGACATCTCTGACTGTTCAAGCAGAGCAGCTTCCTACAAGGACCCAGAAAACAACAAGCACCTGAAACCCAAGGACAACTTAAAAAAAAGATCTGTGACGTCAAAATACCCAAGGGATTGCAGTGAAGTAGAGCTGTCCTACTTGAAAACTAAGCAGGTCAGTGGTGGAACCAACCAAAGTGGGAGGGGAGGAGGAGTAGGGGAGAAAATCTACACTATTGACTCAGACAGAGAGCTAAGTCTTCATTCAGATCCCATTCACTTCCGTGAAAGTCACACTCTTGCTGCAGATGATGTGGATTATCCTGAAATTTACTCGGATCACAGTGATAACTACAGGAAGTGTGAACAGCCCATCATTCATCTGAACTCTTCACCTTTGCATCACCCGGACTCAGATCTTCTGTCAGATTCAGCTTACTCTAAACACTACAACTTGAAAGAGAAAAATCTTTCCCTGTCCCCTCATGAAACTATTGATCGCTATAAACAGACACATTGTCGTTCCTGCTTGTCCAAAGTGACAGCTAGCTACCCACCAGCAGGATCATATGGCTCCACTGGATCTGCCACGGCATCTGGGACTCGTTCCCCATATAATCGGTGTGAGGCATGCCTCCACACAGCCAATCTGTATGACATTAGTGAGGACCAGCTTCTTGCTGACTCCTTGATCAGTCCCACCATGCACCATCCAGAGCAGCAGTCAGATGAAATGTTTGGTCTGTATTGGCCTCAGACAGATGGACCACATGTTCAAAAGAGAAACCGCTTGAGGTTGAGTCGTCAGCACTCATTCGACAACATCATGCTTGAAAAGCCCAAGGATCTTGACATGGGTCGGCCAGCACGTAGTGTCAGTCTCAAAGAGAAGGATCGCTTCTTGGACTCTGCATCTGACTCGCACTATGCGAACCTTTTTGGCATGCGTCCCTACTCTGGCAAACTTTTTGGCACTGGATCTAAATCAATGCTGTTTAACCACAACCTGGAGGAAAGCAAAAGGAGCAAGTCCCTGTACCCAGCACATGGCTCAGAAAACCCTTTTCTTAGCCATTCGTTGAGGGATGATACCAGCAGCAGACTGGTCCATGGGCGTAGCTCTTCTGACATTTACAAACAGTTGGCGGTAGGTTCTCCTGTGGTGGCTGTAGGAGCAGCTCCGATCAAAACACGTAATGATGCGAACAATCTCCGCTCTTCCGGTAAATCCAGCTCTTCATACTGTTCAAGGGATGGGCGGATAGCTAATGACATGTACAATAAAGAGCATGTGATGCCTTACTCAGCCAATAAGACTAGTGCATACCCAGCCTCACGGGGTGTCCTAAACTCAGCCCAGTTTAGCAATAGACGGGTGTATAAGAAAATCCCCAGTCTGGAGTCAGATGTTTAGTTGATGTAAGAAATGTGTTCTCTCCTTCTTACTCCTCTCTGGGTTTGTATTATAATTTATCAACTATGTTATCTACTATGGGATGCCATTGCCAGACAACATTTTTCTTCTCTTCAGCCTTTTCAAAAAAACTTGTACCCATTTGGGTCTAACATAATTACTACCATTCTCTTTACAGATGAGATGATTATCTCTGTCCATGCACACCCATGTACCAATGAGTTGGCTATTAGCCAGCATTCTGCCACAAGTTATCCAAGGGTAAATAGAAGGGGGATCATTGAATCCCTAGGTTTTAAAAAGGGACACATAGAGTAGTCCCATTTCTTAGAGTGGATTGTCAATATTGGCTGGAAATTTACAGAAAGGTAGGTGAGGGTGGCAGTAATTACATGGCAGGGGAATTAGAAGTAGAAAAAGTGCTAGCTTCTATATCCACCAACACTCCTTCTACCCTTTGCCACCTCCACCATTATGCTTGGACCTCACAGTTGAGGAGATCAAACCTGACAGAGAGACCAGATGGGCAAGGCAGACAAAATGTTATCCCAGGAGGACACTGATGTCACACTGAGCTAGTCCATTGGTCTGCTCCTTATAGTCATATATGGCTACTAAGGCATTTGGCAGTAAAGAAGGAAATAGTAGAAGAGCCATAGGGTGAATAGAGAAATGACAGACCAGATGAGCCAATAAATATTATGTTAAAGTCAAGCTAATGACACCACAGTAATGGGAAGATAAAAATAATATATCAATAAATACTGTTTACAGACTTAAGGAAAACAGACTGACAAAGTGACATGTAGAAAATGAAATAGACATGCAGGAAAACCTGAGGCAGTCAATGGGCATTTCATTTAAGGCTCTGCACATAGAAAGATAATTGCAAAGCATTACTTTTTATATTCTACTGAAATATATGACTATAAGGGATTCTGGCATCTGGATCCCTCTATGTAAGATTTTAGTGTTTGCTTATTTTGTAACGCAGTAGTCATTAGTTTTAAAACCTCTTCCCTACATTTACTTTTGAAAGAAGCATAGCTTACTTAAAAATACCATCAAAAGCAGCTGATCATTTTGCATGTACTGATTTTTTTATATCAGGGAAAAGAAAATATATACAAATACACTGTCAAGACACATTTACTGTATTTTTTTTAAAGGGGCTGTGTCTTGCCAGATGTGGTCGATGAATATTTATATAATTAAAATTTTGATCCATAAATTGTGTCACAGTGTGGCTAAGCAAGCAAAGGGCGGTAAAGAAGAAGGTAAAGATGACATAAAAATTAAGGGAGAGAAAAATGAGATGACATCTTTGTCTGTTGGCGCCTCAACTGAGATGTGATTTTGTTTTATGATGTTCATGCCACTGAGAAACAGGGTAATTATTTATATATTTAAAAAAAAAACCACTGACAGTTCTTTTTATTTCCTCATTTTTGTCCATCAACATGACACATCAGCAGTGTGTACAGAACTAGTATACTTTATTTCTTCGAGTTTAGGCACAGGTAAAACTTGTTTAGTTGGTTCAAATGTTTAGAAAAATGTATTATCTACTGTTTGTTTATTTGGAGTCAACCACAACTCCTAAAGTTGTGAACACAACTTAAGATGGATCTCCTATTTACCTCTTATTTAGCTTTTTTATGGGTGGAGGGTGGGTGTTGTGGGTTAGGTTATTCAGGTCAAATTGAATGCAACAAAGGACGCTCCAATATTTTGTATTTATTAATTGCATATCCATCTGTAAGGACCAGGTAGTTGGTTTTGCATGGGAAAACTTGGGTAAGCTTGAAATTTTAACCAGGACATTTAGTTCATAGTCTGATTGTCTGTGTTTTATTTGTTTCTTTCTTTTGCTATTTCTTTTGCTCAACAGAAAAGGCGTACATGCATACGATTTCATTTACCGCTTGTGTTCCCAAAAAAGACTTTTTCGTAGCATGAAAATGTGTAAATTGCACACTCATAAAGGGGTAACAAAACTATAGTTACTGGCGTGATTTGCTTGCTTGATTGGATTCACAAAGCCAAATTATATCTAGTATAATACCTCAGGATGATTCTGTGTGTTTTAGGGGAGCGGTAGCAACAGAACATGATGTGCCGCAAGGCTATTTTTTTTACAAAAATAAAAATTATAATGTTAAAAATAAAATAAGCAGACACACAATGTCAAGCGGCCAAAAGCAGAATGAAATTTCTCTCCTGATGTTTACTGTACCAGTCCAAGGTCTTCCAGATCCGCTCTGTGCCAGAGCTCATGCAACCCATGTAAAGAAAGAAAAGGAAGGGGTGGAGGGTTAAATGTTGCTTTTCTCAGCATGGGTTTGTATTGTGTGCAGCTCTATTTCTTGCCAAACTGAGCACCCTTGACAGAATAAAGGGTGTTGAATAAACATCCAGAATCTGCAACACTACCCTCATGTGGATTACACAAATGGGAATGTCTCTCTTCTCCATTGTTTTTAATGGCAGTTGGTTGCATTAGCTACAGTGTTTCAGCTTAAGCTTGATCGTTAGCATTTTTAGCAATCACTGTCATATCACTGCTTTTGTACTTCTTGAAACACCACAGTTATCCTGTTCTTGCTTCCAATCAGCTTACCCAATGTTGACTTAAGAACTATGTTTGCTCTTTTTGGTTGCATCTTATCTACACATTTATTATTGATACTATTATATTTATTTCCACACGCTGCCTGCATAAGCTGAAGAGTGAACAATATGCACATGGAAAATATCAAACGGCATCATTTTTGTTTCATGGACTCACAACTGTTTTGTTCATTTTGTTCCATTTTTACAGAACTGTCCTGTAAACTGATGCTGTTTTACGTTCGAATACACCCTTGTGATGACAACCCTGCTCTTTATAATGACAAAAATGTATTTTAATTACATTTAATGATAAATAATGAGGTGATGGCATGCAACCCCAAATGTAACAAGTTTGTTTTTTATGTTTCCTTTTGTTGTTTTTGTATTTTTATATTGGTTATGATGTTATAATCACTTATGCGTTGTAACCAGGTGTGAGTATATACATATTTGAGAGGATTTAAAAAAAATATATATATATATCTGTGTTCAACACAATGAAGATGCTGCTGCTGTTTTGGGGGAAGAAGCAAAGGACCTGACCTCCCCCCATACAACTTCTTTACTGGCCGGCTGGTTATCAAGCAATGTTGGGCACCAAAAGCGTGGCAGGTCAGGGGGTCAGGCTTGGTTCAGTATGAAGAGACATCTGTGCTCTTCCTCCAATGGCAGGTGAGAAATACTGTATCACCAGCTCTGCTTCCCTCTCCTTCATGTGTAGTCAGGACTTCAGCTCTAAAGAAGAAGAAGAAAAAGCAACCCTCTACTTTGAGTCTGCTATCCCTCCAAAGAATCAAGACCTCTTTCTTTATTATTTGCTGTAAGAAAAGAGCTTTTTTAAAAAAAATAAAATGAAAAAATAATAATAAAAAGAACTGATACTTCCTCAAAGGACTTTTAAGGAACTATTTTGAATATATTTAGAAAAAACACCTGTAAAAATCGCTTGTAAATTCATACTGGATTACATCATCATGGGAGAGTTATAAAGAGTGAAAACAATATTTTTTGTGTGAATTTCACAAGAGCTCTTCTGTACAGTGGCACTGTTTATCTCTCTATCTTTCTATTTCTTTCTTTTTCTCTCTGTAGAGCGACTAGAATAAAATTTCACCATTCACAAGGCTCTCTGTCATCTCGCGCTGTTCTGTCACAACAGGTTTGCTTTGCCTTTAATAACAGATTATTGGAGTGGAAATGAGAGAATGTGCCCGCTGATACTTGGTCCATTTATTTTCAGCTAAATCTTGAATGTTTGCATCGGGACTGAGGAACAGGTGACTGTGATGGAACAAGAAAGTTTTTCATCAAGAAATTATTGGTCTTTCAAACAGGTGTTTAAACCTAAGATCACTTAATATTGACAGATGACAGAGTTATATTCATTTGGTCAAACATTGAAAATAACACTGTGTGCAGTCTCACAATTCATTATAGTACTGAGTCTGTCTTGTAAAATACATCCAGCTACTACCACATTGCATCACATAGAATTGACTGAGTTATAACAATGTTTGCATTAGCTTTTACAGACAACTTGTGGTTAATTTAAATTAGACTAGCTTGAAAAGTTTATCCATCAGGAAAGAACTTCTTGATAGTTTCAAGATCCATCCAGTGGTACGTGAGCTGTTTTTGCTAGAGGACACATACGAGTTTTTTATGCCTGTATTTATAGTTGAACATTAAAATAAATATTTCATCCAAAGTATAGCCCTCAAAGTATATGTTGGGGATGACTTTCAGCCATTGGCATCAGAAGCTTTTGTAATGTGTGGTGCACACTGGTGAGGGTGACTGGGGTTCTTCCCCCAGACATTTTTGAATAAAGTAGATGCCATTTCCTGCATTCTGGTGTATTTTAACAGGCAGTTAAACATCTGCATTTATTTACATAAATAAACACCATCCATCCATTTTCTTCCGCTTATCCGGGGTTGGGTCAGGGGTAGCAGCTTAAGTAGGGAGGCCCAGACTTCCCTCTCCCCAGCCACTTGGGCCAGCTCCTCCGGGGAATCCCAAGGCGTTCCCTGGCCAGCCGAGAAACATAGGCCCTCAAGCGTGTCCTGGGTTTTCCTCTGGGTCTCCTCCTGGTGGGAAGTGTCTGGAACACCTCACCAGGGAGGCGTCCAGGAGGCATCCTAACCAGATGCCTGAGCAACCTGAACTGACTCCTCTTGACGTGGAGAAGCAGAGGCTGTACTCTGAGTCCCTCCCAGATGATCAAGCTTCTTACCCTATCTCTAAGGGAGAGCTCAGACACCATGCAGAGAAAACTCCTTTTGGCTGCTTGTATCCATGATCTCGTTCTTTTGGTCACAACCCAAAGCTCATGACCATAGATGAGGGTAGGAACGTAGATTGATCATTAAGTTGAGAACTTCGCC